AGCCAAGAAACGTGGGATCATTGGTTGGGGACTCAGGTGGGATCCTTGTCACTTTTCAAATAATTTAATTGTGGTAAAAAGATACATAAACACAACATGTAGCATCTTAGCATTTTTGTTTTGTTTTGTTAATTCTCACCTGAGGATGTTTTTCTCGTTGCTCTTCGGAGAGAGTAGAAGGGAGGCGGGGGGGGGGGCGGGGGGCGGAGAAACATTGATATGAGAGAGATACATCCACTGGTTGCCTCCTACACACGCCCGGATGGGGATGTGCCCTTGACTGGGGATTGAACCAAGACCCTGCCCTGTGCAGGCTGACACTCCAACCACTGAGGACACCAGCCAGGGCCCATCTTAACGTTTTTAAGTGTACAGTTCATTCGTGTTAAGTGCGGTCACATTGTCGTGTAACTATCACCACCATCCACCTCCTGAACCCTTCATCTTGCTAAATTGAAGTTCTTTCCCCATTAAACACCGACTCCCCCTCCCCCTCCCTCCAGCCCCTGGCATCTACCATTCTACTTTCCGTCTCTATGAATTTGCCTACCGTAGGGACCTCATATAATTGGAATCCTACAGTATTTGTCTATCTGTGAAGGCATATTTCACTTAGATAATGTCCTCAAGTTTCATCCATGGCATACATGTGTCCACTTCTTTTTTTAATATATATATTTTATTGATTTTTTTTACAGAGAGGAAGGGAGAGGGAGAGGGATAGCGAGTTAGAAACATCGATGAGAGAGAAACATCGATTCAGCTGCCTCTTGTACGCCCCCTACTGGGGATGTGCCCGCAACCCAGGTACATGCCCTTGACCCGAATCGAACCTGGGACCCTTGAGTCCGCAGGCTGACGCTCGCTCTATCCGCTGAGCCAAACCAGCTAGGGCGTGTCAACTTCTTTTTAAGTTTGAGTAACATTTCACTGTATGGCTCGGCCACACTTGTTCATCCATTCATCCGCCGATGGACATTTGAGTTGCTGGTTTGAGTCATGCTGCTATGAACGTGGGTGTGCAAATACACACCCAGATATGAACTTGCTGGGTTATATAATAACTTTTTCATCGTTCAGGGAACTGCCACACTGTTTTCCATAGAGGCGGCACTATTTTACACTCTCACCAACAATGCACAAGGGTCCCAATTTCTCTACATCCTTGACAACGCGTATTATTTTCTGTTTCGTTTTTTGTTGCTGATATTAGGCATTCTAATGGGTGTGAAGCAGACCCTATTGCTTTTTAATTTGTTATTTAGACATAAGAAATTGAGCTGTATTAAATATTTAATATAGAGATTGTTAGTGGTTACAAATCTATATTTTATGAAAAGCATAGGCACATTGCTGGTGTGTGCACAAACACGTTTTGTTGATGGAGTGTGCGTGACCAGAAAAGTCTGGAGACCCCCTGGTGAACCCAGCTCTATGCATGTGTGTATTGAGGTGGGGGAGGGGGGGCGGGCGGGGTGATGGAGGTGTTTGGATCATCCCTGTATTCCCAGGCCCAAGACAATGAAATGCTGAGAGACAGTCTGTCTCACCCTTCAATGTCCATGGACAATGCCCCTTCCTCCAGGAAGCCCCCCTGGCCTTCCCAGACCCAGCACCAGCTTCCTGCTCTGGATTCCTCAGCCCAGGGTCCTGGGTCCCTTCTCTCTGCCCCAGCCCTGACCACGAGGGTCTGTGCCTGGAGGCTGAATTTGCTGAATGAATGAGTGAGTGAGTGAATGAATGAATGAGTGAATGGCCTGTGCGGCCTCTGACCTGGGTGTGCACTGGGGAGGTCTGGCTGTTCACGAGTGGGCAGGGGTGGGCGAGGCTCACCCAGGCCGCACCCGGGTGGGGAAGCAGTCGCAGGCCAGGCAGCGGAGGCCTCGGCCCAGTAGGCGCGGCCAGCGGAAGAGCAGGCGGTGGGCCGATCGCACGTACAGGCGGCCGGAGGGGTCCACGGCCTTGAGCGCGGTCAGGGCGCAGTAGCGGGCGTTGGTCTGTCGGCGCAGGGGGGGTCTGGTCGAGCCGATGACCTTGACAATGGCCTGTGGGGTGGCGCCCTGAGCTCGGGCAGGGACGGCAGTTCTGTAGGGAGGGCCCCCTACGTACCTAATCCGCATCCTGGGGTCCCCTGCTCACCTGGGCCACATCCTGGGGGCTCTGCCCCAAACAGCGAAAGAGCTCCCGGGACGCTGGGAGGTAGAGGTCCCGGAAGTAGCGCAGGGTGTCGGGGTCGGCGCCTGGGAACTGGGCGGTGGAAACCTGCTCCAGCAGCTTCTCCTCAAAGGCCGTGCCCACGGGGCCGGGTTCCACCAGGGAGATGCTGGGGGCAGGGCGGGGGAGGGTCTGGTGCCCCAACACACTCTCACCCCATCTGGCTCATGACTGTCCCTCTTCCCTTCTCACCCCTCATCCCCCCTCATCACTTCATCCCTCCCGGCCCCCATCTCCTCGATACCCCCTTTTCCTTGTCTGCCCCTCCCGCCTCCCCTCCCCCCACCCCCACCCCTGTTTCCCCTCGTCGCCCAAGGGCCCGCCTCACAAGATGTTGAACTGGAGCAGCTGGATGGCCAGACTCTCGAAGAACCCTTCCAGGGCAAACTTGGAGGCTGCGTAGACGTCGTTGAACACGACACCTGAGAGGGTTGGAGGAAGGTGACCCTTGGGGTCTGGGTGATGGGTTTTGTGGGTCCAGAGGGAAGGGGTCTTTGGGAGACAGACGAAGAGGGTTTGAGGGTTGGAATGAGGAGCTATCATCGGGGGCCAGCGCCACGGGCGTATGGTATTGTGTGATGGGAGCACACGGGGCCAGGGGGCGGCTGTCCTGGGATGCCAGGTGCCACTGCTTCCCAGCCGTGCTCCCTCTGCCCTCAGCCCTCAGCCCTCAGCCCAGGAAACGCTCTGACTGCCCTCCATCCTCCTCCCCCTGGGGGCCACTTGGGTCTGGGATCCCAGGGCCCTGAGGACAAGTCCTGATCAGCCGGCCCCTTCTCAGTCCTGCTGAGCAGTAAATGGGGCTGGATGAGCGAAGTAAATGCAGCTTCTCTGTGGCAGGATAAGGAATAGGGCGGGTTCTCTAGGGGACAGCTGGGGAAAGGGGCAGATCCGAGGAACCGCCCAGGGGAGGAAGGGCGTCTGGAGGGGTTCGAGGAGGAGAAACCCAAGAGCATGGTGGCAAGTAGGTGGCTTCCATTGCAGGCCCATAGCAGACGGCACTGTCAATCACTGCTCTCTCTTCTGAGGAACTTCAGAATCCCAGACTTAGGCCGCTCTGTGGCCTGGTGGCGAGTGTTTGTCAAAGAGGAATCTCAGGAAGAGGAGCTCTGGGGTGTGTGTGTGTGTGTTATTGGGCAGTGGTTGGGAGAGATTTTGGGAGGTGTTTGGAAGTGGGGATGGTGCTGGGATGTCGATGGCCATTGGCAGCATCTATACCACCACTGCCTAGACCTGCACCAGGGCAGACATAGTTCATCTTTCCCAGAATTGTTCCTTCTGAGCTTCAGAATCCTTCTCAACATGGGCTCATTTAGAACATGGCTAAAACCTATTTGCCATCCTTCCAGCCAAGGAAGGTCAGACACGGGGGGACTTCCCCGGGGAGGGTCCCAGAGCTTACCCTGTAGCCCCATGACACTGCTGACCACCACGATGTGGCCCTGCCGCCTCCTCTTCATGCCGGGAAGCACAGCTCTGACCAGGCGGACGGCTCCGAAAAAGTTGGTGTCAAAGACTTTCTGCATGGCAGCTAGGCTGAGCCCCTCCAGGGGCCCCACCAGGCCCACGCCAGCATTATTCACTGAGGGGGAGACGCTGAGGGTTACTCTGCAGTCCCCCAGCCCTTCCAGTGTCACTCCTCAGGGGACACCCCCTGAGTCACCCCATCTGCCCACTCCAAATCCAGGTCAGTCCAGGGTATCTTGGGTGGACAAATGTGGAGCCTTGATGTTCTTCACGTATAATTCAGCGTTTGTTATAGGGGACCCTGAACCCTGGGAGGGGGAAGGGCTGCTGGGAACAACCTCCACTTCAATGCATGAGCAATTTAACTCTGACCCCAATTACCTCAAAACAGCCATACCCACCCTCCTTAGACGTGGTTATGGAATCATAGTTACTTCTTCATCGTGCTCCCTTCCCCAAATGATTCATCAAACCACATATGATGTTCTCCATGTGTGAGAAGCTTTCTTAAGTAAAATCTCTCTGACCTCAGATTTCATTTTGTTTCCTCAATTCCCATTAAGCCTTGGGCTTTTGGCCAACTGGTCTACCCCTTCTGTTCAGGGCGAGAGGATACTGATGAAGCAAGAGAGCTGGTGCCCAGACACTAAAGGGCCTTGCTGTGATGAGGATCTGTGCTTAGGCCAGGGAGGGGGCGGGCGAGTGACCTCAGGGATTTTTCAGTCTCACCCAGCACGTCCACTTCTCCTCCCTGGATGCAGCTGAGACATTGGGCCACTGACTCATCACTGCACACGTCCAGCTGGGCCACAGTGAGGGTCTGACCCAGAGCCTCCCCGGCAGCTGCCTCCAGCGTCCCCTTCTTTCCCAGATCTCTCATGGTGGCCACCACTGGGGACAGAAAACAGTTGGGGCAGGTACTGGCTTCTTTCCCCTAAGGATGGACTTGCACGTTTCTGTGGTCTTGCCTGAGCAGTCACAGAGGGATGGAGACCCACAGATTTGCACACCTTCATTCACCACACATCCACAGATTCACACTTATGTACATATCTTTACATGCTTATCCATCCATCCATCTATCCATCCATCCAACATGTTTATTGAGCATCTACTACATACCATGTCCTATTCTAGGTGCTGACACTCTTGCATAAAATAAGATAAAGTCTGTTCCTTCATGGAATTCACAGCCTAGTAGGCCAGACAATAAAATAACTATAAAACAGATTGCTTTGAGGATAAATGCATAGACATCTAGGGCCAACACATGTGCTATGTGCACATGCAGCTATGATATACACATTTACATCATCAGCATGAGTTCCAACTTGTTGAATACCTACTATGTGCCAGACACTGTGCTGAACACTGTTATAAGCACCATCTCGAACCCGCACAGGAACCCTATGGTCAGATCACTAACACGTTTCCAAAGACGGCCATGACACCTTTCATTGCATGTGCTCGTCTAGAACCTTGCCGCTCCCCCATCAAGCATGAACTCTCTTTCCCTCTCCTTGAATCTGTGACTAGCTGTGAACCAATAGACTGTGGGGCTAGTGATGTTGTGTGGCTTCTGAGATGAGGCCAGGAAAGGTGCTGCAGTCGCTGCCTTGTTTGCTGGCACACTCACTCTGGCTGCCATCAGCCACCCTGTAGCAGCCCCGCGGTCCTGAGGTGACCAGCTGGGGAGGAAACTCAAGCCACTGAGATCCCCGAGAGGGAGATGCTTGTCCGAACCCTGACATGCTCCAGCCTCCTCTGTTCTAGCTGTAGCCTTTGTCCCTGAATCAGAACCACCCAGCTGAGCCCTTCTGAGTTCATGGCCTTTGTAAACTGTGAGATAAATGATGATAGTTTTTTATACTATAAGTTGTTTCTTTTTTTAATCCTCACCCGAGGATATTTTTCCATTGATTTTTAGGGAGAGTTGAAGAGAGAGGGAAAGACAGAGAGAAACATCGATGTGAGAGAAACACACCGATTGGTTGCCTCCTGCATGAGCCCCAGCCAGGGCCCGGGTTGGGGAGGAGCCTGCAACCAAGGTATGTGCCCTTGACTGGAATCAAATCCAGGACCCTTCGGTCCACAGGCCAACGCTCTACTTACTGAGCCAAACTGGCTAGGGCTACACCCTAAGTTTTGATTTATTATTTAGCAATGGTAACCAGAACAGGTAGGTAAAGTTATCCCCATCGTATAGATTAACACACTAAGGCTCAAGAAGGTGACATTTCCTCTCTGTTAGCGTTAAAACTGAGATTTGAACCTGGTTTTATCAGAGTGCTGAGCTCACATGCCTGTATGTGAGCACGCCCCCCATGCGTGCACCCACAATCACACAGGCATACTCCTAGGGGGCATTTGCATGTTGCCTGTGGGCCTGTGTGACTCATGGTGCTGCACAGGTGAATGGGGTCACATGCATCTGCATGCAGTGCAGTGACAAGGATGGTCCCAGGGGCTAGGCTGCCTGGGTTCAATCCAGGTTCTGCCACTTTGCAGCTGGGCGAACTTGGGCAAGAATCTTTGGCAGCCTGTGCCTCGAAAAAATAGTTCTTTATTGATTTCAGAGAGGAAGGGAGGAGAGAGAGATAGAAACATCAATGATGAGAGAGAATCATTGATTGGCTGCCTCCTGCACGCCCCCCTCCCCCCGGGGATCAAGCCTGCAATCCAGGCATGTGCCCTTGGCTGGAATCGAACCTGGGACCCTTCAATCCGCAGGCTGACGCTCTATCCACTGAGCCAAGCCGGGCAGGGCTATTTTCTTTTTTTAAAAAAAGATATTTTATTGATTTTTTGCAGAGAAGAAGGAAAAGGGATAGAGAGTTAGAAACATCGATGAGAGAGAAACATGGATCAGCTGCCTCCTGCACACCTCCTACTGGGGATGTGCCCGCAACCAAGGTACATGCCCTTGACCAGAATTGGACCTGCAACCTTTCAGTCCGCAGGCCGACGCTCTAGCGCTAGCCACTGAGCCAAACCGGTTAGGGCTCATTTATTTTCTTTTAAAACATTGATTTTAGGGAGAAAGATAGATCCATTGCTCTAAGAATCCATGCATCCATTGGTTGACTCTTGTATGTGCCTTGACCAGGGATTGAACCCCAAACTTGGCGTATCCGGACGACGCTCTAACCAGCTGAGCTACCTGGCCAGGGCTCTCCTTATTTCTAAGATGGGTCAAATGACAGTGAGCACCTCATGGGGGTGCTGTTCGGATTAAATATCTAACTAGATGCAAAGCATGTAGCCTGGCACCTTGTCAGCACTCAGTAAACGTATCCTTCAGCAGCTTCATACACTCCGCTTGCCAGGGACACACGCGGCACAGCGCTGTCCTGCGTACTGGCACCCAGACTGCCGTGCTCCGAGCTGTGCTGTGTCTAGGACAGAGGGTGGAGAGAGGGCTGGGAGAAGCAGCGCTGCCAACTGGGACAATGCCCTCACCCCCTGCAGCCTCCTCTTAAGTAACAGCCCTCTGTCCACTTTGACTCCGGCCTGCTCTGGGCCAGAGGTCTCCATGGGTGGGGTGCAGACTGGGGCAGTTGACTCCAGAATTGCAGGAGGCCAAGTCCTCTAGGAGCCCTTGAGCCCTCAAGGTCAGATTCACTTAAGAGGCTTATCTTGGAGCAGTAATCTGGGGAGGGCTGGGGAAGGGGAGCCCTAGGGACCACCTGAGCGAACCCCCCTGATCAGCCCTCTTAAAACTACTACCCACCCACCACATTCCCTTTGCTTAATTTTGCTTCTTTTTAAAAAATATATATATTTTATTGATTTTTTTTACAGAGAGGAAGGGAGAGGGATAGAGAGTTAGAAACATCAATGAGAGAGAAATATCGATCAGCTGCCTCCTGCACACTCCCCACTGGGGATGTACCCGCAACCAAGGTACATGCCCTTGACCGGAATCGAACCTGGGACCCTTCAGTCCGCAGGCCGGCACTCTATCCACTGAGCCAAACCGGTAGGGCTTAATTTTGCTTCTTAGCACTCATTAGCACTAGACATATTATAAAAATTTAAAACCTGCTTGTTGTCTGTCCTCCCTCCCCTCCCCCACTACACCACGAATCAGGGTCTGTTTTGTTTACAGCTGTATTTCCAGCACCTAGAACAGTGCCTGGCATCCAGTAGGTGCTCAAGAAATGTTCATTGGATGAGGGGTTGACTCCCAAGGAGAGGTGGGAAGGGAGCTCCACGGGTCCTGGGTCCTCCCCGAGCCCACAAATGCGGCCTGAAGGTAAGGGCTGGTGGAAATAGTGCCAAGGGGGCTGAGGGTCCTGGAGGCCATGCCCACCCCTGCCCTCTCCGCCCTGCCCTGGGCCCCTTACCCTGGTAGCGCTGCCTGGAGTCACGAGCCAGCTGCACTGCGAGCTCCAGGCCGATTCCGGATGAGCAGCCTGAGATCAGTACAGTCCGGGGAAGGTCGGCCATGTTGATCCCTCCCTGGAGGCAGGACCTCTGCTGGCAGCACCTGCCTCCTGCCTCCCATCTCCCTGATCATCCTCAGAATGGACCGCCCGCAGGGTGAAGGGTCCCCACGAGGCCCTGATTCTGAGCTGACCCAGGCCAAGCACTGGGGGGAATTCCTTAACCCCAACACACCCCCTTTCTGTTATCTGTAAAAAGTTCTCCTCACTGCTGCACTCATACCTGGGGGCTTTTTATTATGATTGTACATTATTCGGGGCGGAGGGAGTTTCAGGAAGCCGGGGAATTAGCAGGAGTATTCTCTTGTGGTGTCTTCTGGGCAAAGAGTCTCTGATTGGAGGGAGAGAGGGAGAGGAGGTGGCAGAGAGGGTGGTCTTAGTGGGGTCCTCTCCGATGCGCACAGGAATGTCAGAAGATACAGCAGATACAGCAGAAACCTCCCCGCAAGGCAGGGCAAGGCAGCGCAGAAACCTTATGAGAGGCTCAGCCTCAGATGTCCCCGGGGAGGGAGGAGGAGCAGCTTGGGGAGAGTCCCTCTGCTGCCCCTACCCTGGGAGCCCCCATCTGCCCCTCAGGCCACAGGGACCCCCACCCCCTCCTCTCCAGGGACACAGAGGCTCTTTGTCTGAGGAGCCAGAGGCTGGGAGGGAGGCACTGCTGGCTTCTCTCTCTGGGTGGTGAGGGGGGAGCTCAGGGCCCAGGCCACGCCCGCCCCTGGGGCTCCTCCCTGCGGAAGCTCTCAGACCCCACATGCCTGCTCTTGTTCAATGGCACAGACAGCTCCACCTGACCCCCTGGGGGCCTCTTCACACTGGGGGGTCCCAGTAGGGTGAGGGGGGGCTCTGCCCCACCCCAGAATGGCAGGGAACCGCTCCTCCCTGTGGCAGCGCTGTTTTGGGGTGTAGTCAGACACTCACATGTAATGGGGGTATGTGTGCAGATTTGGGGTTGGGGGTAGAGCATCCTTTTGGGGACCTGAGCTGGGCAGAGGAGGGCTGGGGATGGAGGTGGGACCCTTTATTGAAGGTTAATAAGAGTTTGGGGGAAAGCAAGGCCGGTGCTTGGGAATCTGTGGGGAGGTGGGGAGGGGGCGGGACATGCAATTCTGGAATGTGGGAGGACAGATGAAGGTTTGGGGCAAGTCTGGGAGCCTCATTGTAGAATCTGGGGTGAGGTTTAAGGTGGGAAGAGGACCCCTTGTTTAGGAACCTGAAGGGAAGGTGTGGGGGTGAGGCAGTACCTCTTCCGTGGGGCTAAGCGATTGGGGTAAGGCAGGTGGGTGAGAGGTTGGCAGGAGGCTGAGATCCCATTAGGGAGCCTCCGAGGCACAGAAAGAACTTGGTATAAAGCTGTACCCCTAATTCCAGGGCCTGGATGGAGGCTCAAGTTTGAATGAGGCTACGAGCTCCTTTGAGGGGGCCAGCTAGGAGGAAGGGTTTGGGGGAAGCCGGGAACCCTGAATTCTACGGCTGAGAGGGAGTGACCCTCCTCCTCCGGAGTGGGGTGGGGCAAGCCGGGCCCAGCGCCGGCCCAGGGCTCCGCCCAATCAGCGCTCAGCACAAACTTTCCAAACTCCCCCCACCAGCTGTCAGCCACCCCCCCTCTCGCGGGTCCCGCCTGGCCGGGCGCGGGAGTGCAGGGCGAGGCCAGGGCGCGGTCTCGGGCAGTCTCCCGCGGATCCCGAGTGGAGCTGGCCGCCGCGAGTGCGTGCACCGAGCCGTGGAGTCGCCACTCCCCGCAGCCGCCCGGCCGGTCCCCGACCTTGGGTGTGGGCCCCGCCGGGATGGGGAGTCGCCGGGGCCTAGGCCAGCCGCGGGCCGGCCTCTGCCTGCTCCTGGCCTCGCTGCAGCTTCTGCCCCGGACACAGGCGGGTGAGCCCGGAGGGAGGGCGCAGGACACGGAGTGCAGAACCCAGCGAGGCGCCCCAAGGCGGGGTGGAGTCGGGAAGGGGGAGGCGTGCGCCCTGCCCGTGGCTACCGTGTGCGACTGTCCGGCTCCGGGCGATTTGGGGAGTGACAGCGGGCGGGGGGCGGGGGAGCGAGGGGCCGTGTCTTGCTGGTGGGTGCAGGGGAAGAAGGCAGCTTATAGGTGTGTGTGTATGCGTGCAGCAGTGGGTGTCTGGCCACTTGGAGGGAAACCGTGTGTGTGCTTGAGAGTGAGAGTTGACGCTTGTCTGGATGTGGTGACGGGCTGATCCCCGAAGCGAGTGTGTGAGAGTAAATAATTGCCCACGAGGACATAAGCGGATGATTCTGAGGGTGACGGTGAGTGGGCGAGCATGGGAGGGGCTCATAGGAGATTCAGACTTCCCTCTGCGTCTCCCCAAATGCCTGCACCCTACTCTCCCTCTTCTTCCTCTGCCCCCGATGGGAGCGCGCCCACCTCCTCTCCCCCATCCCCGCTCCCCTCCCCCCACGCCGCGCTCCCCAGAGCCGGGATCAGCACCACGGACAGGGCCCTGGGAGGGGCGGTGAGGGCGACCCGGGGCGGGGCGGGGGCGGGGGCGGGCGGAGCTCGGGCGGGGGCAG